GCAGAGGCAGGCCCTAAGCTCTGCTGAGCCAGGTCTGAGCAGCACGCGCAGGAACAGAGCTGCCTCAGAGCCCAGCGCAAGGCAGGCACAGAGGGCCCTCTGGAGTTTATCAGCAACCCACTACCACGCCTAGAGCAAAACAGAATTCATGTTGGACAGATATGACATCAGCTGAGAGTCAAGGGCAGGAGTAGACAGAAGGAATGCCGGGATGCCACATAACCAGCTAGCTTTTCTGGGCCTCAGCCCCTTCCTCAGTGCAATGTGGGTGGTAAAGGTGTCTGATGATGCTCCTAGCTCTACGACTCAGATTCAATTACAGATTTATAGAAAGGCAAAGGAGGAGTCCCTGAGTGCTGCAAATGATTAGCACACTCACCTGCTAACCAAAAGGTTGGCGGTTCAAGTCCACCCAGAGGCATGTTGGAAGAAAGGCCCAGTGATCTGCTTCCAAAAAATGGGTCGTCGAAACCCTTGGAAAGCTCGGTTCTGCTTGGACACACATGGGGCCATCAGGAGTCCGAATCTACTGGACAGCACTAGTTAGTGAGACTGATGAGGGAGGCAAATGTCTAATCCACTTTTTCTACCATTTGCCCTCCAGCCATTTACCACAGCCACAGAAGAAATGGAACAAGGCTTTGGGGAGGGGAAGGTCATGTTTGGCCCAGGCTTGAATGAAGGCACTACCCTGACCCACAACTTCAACTCACTTTGCAGGAGTTGGCCCGGCAAAACATACTGCAGACCTGAAAGCCAATGACTTTTGACACCTGAACCAAAGTTACATAAAACAGGCGATTCATCCATTAGATCAGACCCTTTCGGCCCAGTTCAGGATCGGAGCATATGGACAGGAGCTGTGGGTGACAGACACTGCCTCTAAGGCTAAGGTTCCCATGCTAGCCATTTCCCCTCAAACCCCCTCACCAGCCCTAGACCTTTGCAGGCTTCTGCTAGAGCCCTCTACAGTCAACGACAGTGGCCCTGCCTGGGGACTCAGAGACTAGCATCCAAGCCTGGGCCCCATCCATCTCTGAGGCTTCTCTGCTGCTGTGTGAGGGTGGGGGCAGTGATGGACAGTCGTGTGTGATAGAATCACCTCCACTTCCCCTTTCCTCAGGAAGTGGTTGTCTCAGGGAGAGGACAAGGTAGAGAGCAGAACAGTCAATAGTGAGCAGTGTTTGTATCTGCCTGGTGTCTGGGACACACAGCCTGGCTCCTGGGGGCCTGCCAGGCTGGCCTATTGTCTGGCACTGTTTGCCTTTGAGGCAATGTGTGTCCAGGGGTGGGGAGGGAAAGAAGAGGTTGGGGTAGGGGTGAGAAGCAGGGCACACAACCAGACCAGCCGCCAGGCTTGGTGCATGGGCTATGACACTATTAGGACAGCCCAAGCGAGGGCCGCTGGAGTCTACTGCCTGCCCACCTCCTGTCTCCAGGCTCAGATGACCCCTGCAATAGCAGAACTTTTTCTTGGTTCTAAACTAACTCCTCAGAACCATAATCCTGTCCCTCCCAGGCCCCTTGGTGCCCAGATCACTTCTCAGGGCTCTCTGCCTTCCTGCCTCTGCATACACATACCATCCCCCTCCTCCAAGAAAGTTCCTGAAGACAACGAGGTGCTGCAGGCCTGCCCCCAAGCATGCAGAGCCCCTCGAGGAGAGCCGAGAACCTGCCTCCAGGGGTGCCCAGAGCCGATCAGCACACGTGGGTGGCTGGGTTTACAAAGTCTGGCCTTCTCCAGAACCACAGCCTTGGGCTTGTGTTTGCCCCTCAAACCCAGCTCCTCCACAAGTATCTCTTATCATTGCTGGGTCTGACCGTCCACCTAGAACCACTGTGCACACCATGAGCTGCTTTCTGATTGAAGGAGGCAGCATGGGTCTGCAGCCCTGGGGTCTAGGTCCAGGTGGCCTCCCCATCTATCAGATGAACCACTGGATTCCTGGATCTCTAAGAACCATTCCAACATGGATCTCTAAGAACCATTCCAACAACCATTGTTGGGATGGGGAGAAGGCCTTAAACCAATAAAACCCACTACCATCACGTCATTCAGGCTCATAGCAATCCTATAGGACAGAGTAGAATTGCCCCATATAGTTTCCAAGAATGAGATCTTTACAGAAGCAAACTGCCACACTGTTGTCCCACGGAGTGGCTGCAGTAACCTTTTGGTTAGCAGCCAAGCACTTAAGCCCTCCAATACAGTGGAGTGGACCTTGATATTGTAGAAATTCAACAAGAAAGATTCAGACCTTTAGTGCAAGCAATTCAAGTCACCAGTAAAACATAAAACACTCTGTGCACATACCCCACTTTGCGGTATGTATCACATCTTAAGGTATATGACACTTTTTGGAGTATATTTCACACTTGGTGCATATACCATACTTTGGGGTACCACATACTTGGAGGTACATACATACTTTAAGGTCCAGACACACTTTGGGGTATGTACACACTTTGTGTATACACACACACTTGGGATAGATGCCATACTTTGGGTGGACAGCATCCTTTGCATATAGGTCTCTGCTGGGAGCTTTCTGTCACATGTTAATGCTGGTCACTCTGAAAGGACAAAGCTCTCCAGCCAACAGTACAGAGCCTGGAACCAGGCAAAGCTGGATACAAATGTACTCCCCCTACTGACTTGCCGTTAACCTTGAGCAAATCCTGAGACTCAGGTTCCTCACCTGTAAAACAGGATAAGAATATTACACCAAGTCCCTGAGTTAAGAATGTCACGCTTTCAGACAACTCATACTTGCCCTTCAATGTTATATAAATTTGCCCTCATTTTGAAATGATTAGGAGCTCTAGTGGTGCAGTGGTGAAAGCATTCAGCTAACCAAAAGGTCAGCAGTTCAAACCCACCAGCCAGTCCACAGGAGAGAGATGAGGCAGTCTGCTGCCATAATGATTTACAGCCTTGGAAACCCTACAGGACAGTTCTACCCTGCAGTTGTTATGTGCCGTCAAGTCGGACCCAACTCATAGCGACCCCTCCTTGGATTTCTGAGGCAATATCACTACAGAAGTAGATTGCCCAATCTTCCTTCCACGAAGTGGCTGGTGGGTTTGAACCGCCAGCCTCCTGGTTAGCAGTCAAGTGCCTTAGGCACTATGCTACCAGAGCTCCAATAGGGATGCTACCAGTTGAAACTGACTTGTAGGCAGCAGGCTTGGTTTTGATTTTGAAACAACTGAACCAACCCCAATGCACAACATATTTCATCACAATCACCTTCACTCACTTCACATGCAGCTTTTAAACTATGGAAAGGGCTTCAAAGCTTTTCCTTGCACTAAAATAAGGCTAAATTAGAACCATATGCACCTGTTCCTACTCACCTACAAAGTGACTTAAAAGACACTTAGGAATGGATCTTGTTCCTAACTGGGGGACTGCCTATACTTACCTCAAAGAGTCCTTAGGAAGATTAGAGACAGTGTCTGTAACAAGCTCACCACAGGGCCTAGCACATAAGAAACACCTTGTCAAGACAGCCTTGTTGTTACTCAGTTAAAGGTTGAGAATTTTATAAGGTACATGCATTTTTTTTTTAATTTAAAAAATACATACATAAAATCAGATGCTCCCAGAGTCTCAAAGTGTTGGAAAACTCAGATAACAGACAGAGCCATTTGATTCATATTTATTTCACATTTGATCTGTAAACTTTTTTATTTAAAAAAAAAATCCACTGCCAATAGCAACATGTGCTGACATTAGTTTTTCTTTAGTGAAATAAGAGCACAGGCCTTAAAGACTCTGTCTAAAACATGTAGAAACGCAGATGTAAACACAAAGTCTGCACCCTCCCACCCTGACTTTGGGAGTTCGTCAATGACATGATTCCAACTAGAAAGCAGGGGGGGGGGGGCGACACAACATTTTTGATACCTAAGAGCTCTTGAGGCAGGAACTGTACAGTGTGGCAGGCCCATTTATCTTTTCCAACTGTTTACCTTGGGCAAATTACATCAGGTTTGCTTCTTCCACATAATTTCCACTCCTCTGTCTAAAACCAGCAGCTCAAAGGTTTCCCCGCAGTCAGCGCGTTCCGGGAGGGAGGGGCGTACATACATACAAGATAGAAATATACATATTCTTCAAGCAATGGCCCCAAGGGAGGGCGAGGGCACCGAAGGAGCCGCTTTAAAGTGAGTTATTGGCGCGAGCGGTACATCAGAGAATGGCTTTATACACAGGGCCCATGCTAGGCGGACAGGTTCATTTACTTCTGCCTTGATCCATCATTGTAATATTTACATAGCAAAAGGCAATTATGCTGTTAGGCACAGGAAAAAAATGGACAGAAACTGCCCCCTGCCCCGGGTCAGGAAATCTCAAAGCAGGTCCAGCTCCAAGGGACAGTCACCAACTGTCGGCAGAGGACAGGGGGACTGTAATAACATTAGAAAAAAGCCCCCATCTGACTAGACACATGTCTGCCCCGAGGGCATCTCCGACAGCCGGGATTCCAACCTCCAAACCAAGGCCAACCCGCACTGGGGACGCGGGCCCTGCCCCGTGTACTATCAAAAATAGTGCATATTTACAGTGGGGGTGGGAGGGGCGGGCAGGGCTGCCCTGAGCTTTTGTTAAAAAATAGGAGGAGGGGCAATTAGCCAAGTTTGGGCAACCCCCACCCATTAACCCCTTGCGAACAAACGCCCGCTGAGTTCAGTGAGGCTCTGAGGAGTCTTGAAAGCTGGATTGCAGAAAGGGAGTGAAATGCCTTGAGGAACCAATACTGATTAGGGGCTGCCCGAGACGCTCGGGGTCAGGAGCGGCCCGAACAACTGAGGGGCGTGGTGACCCCTCCCTGCCAGTCCCTTTCCCCGGCAGGTGCCCACCGGAAGCCGCCCAGGAACTCCCAGGGCAGCAAACGCAGGATCCGGGTCCAGATGTCCCGGCTGCGCGGATGCACCCCTGGAAGTCCGCTTCCTGCCAGCGGCCCGAGTCTGCGCACCGGGTGCCCGCGGCGCGCTCACACGATCCGCTTTCGGTCCCCCCGGCAGAGAATCTTCTTGAAGGCGCGGCGGAAGTCATGGTTGAAGATGGTGTAGATGACCGGGTTTAGCGAGCTGTTGCAGTACCCGAACCAGAAGAAGAACTTGAAGAGCGTGCGAGGCACAGAGCAGCCGACGGCCGTGAGCGTGTAGGTGAAGAAGAAGGGGAACCAGCACACCACGAACACGCCGATGACCACGGCCAGCACGAACGTGAAGCGCTTCTCGCGGTTC